GAACCCCATGTTAAAGCATTAGACTAGAAGCTAAGACAATACAGTGTTTCACTTTTCTGGCTCTGCCCCAAAACTTTCTGTGTACCTCTGTGTACCAGTATTATCAACATATATACAAATAAACTAAATTCTGAAACCCCAAAAGTAGCACTGGCACAACACACGTCAAAATCAATTAAAAAAAAATCATAAGTGATACAAAAGGAAAGTGATTGCAGAAAGGAAGGAGTAAAGTTGAATATAATCTGAGTTATACACAACATTTTATTCAAACACCAGAATTCTTGTCATCTTTAGTGCAGGCTGCAAGGAATGTAAGCTGCAGTTTTTACAAGATTTTCTTCACAGAACAGCTCAGTTATACCAATATTTCACAAACACTCAACATCCTCTTGATTGAAGACCAACTAAAGCATAGTGCAAGCCCACATATCTGTAGTTCATACATCTACCTACTAGGGGCAGAAAAGAACCCCCAGGACAGAATCCAGGAGATACCACAAATGTTTTTGCCAAAGTTATATGGGACGTACATCACTACAGCTCATGAGCCCAAAGCCAATCTAGATTATGTTACTGATGATCCCTGCAGTGGACGTTATCACATTGTGGTAAACAGAATGGGAATGAGCCACTCCCTCGCTAAGAAACTCCTTACTCCTACCTTCAAAGGTCCATGCTATCTCTGGTTCAAGCTCAGCCCTTTCAGGTACAGGTTGCTGAGGTATAAAGGACTCAGTCTATGGATTCAGTTATAGGCCTCTCTGTAGCAGTGTAGTTAAGAATGCTTCTCATCTACTAGCACGACTATTCCTCTTATGCCAGTTTATCAGGAGGAAGTCCTAGATTCCACATTGCTAACCCTGAGACTATTGAATGACTAATTTGTGTGCTGCCTACTTAAGGCCCTTTTACTTACAGAAGTCTGTTTTTCTCTCCTCACCTTGTATTTTGCATTTCAAACAATGTTTCCTATCTTTATGGGAGTGCTTGCACATTTAACAAAAAAAAAAAATGTACAAAACCTGCTTGATACATTCCTGGCTAATAAAGTCACTACAGAAGATACCCGCACTTCCTATTTGGCCCTTTTAGCTTTTCAGATTCCCACAACCTGAAGGGTTCTGCTAACTAATACCTAGAAGATTTCACTGTTGGTGTCTCCTATGATTTTAAGCTGACAATATTCAAAAGGCCAAGGTATCACATCTGTGAGAACGGTTTATAAGCAATGCCACTTATTCAGAAATAGAGCATGCAAACAATGGAAAATTAGGAAAGACTGACTGGCTCATTCATGACTTGTCTTTGCCTATAAATGTAGGGAGATGGTATCTGTAGCTCCCTCTGGTTGTTTATTGGTCTTTGTTTATTCTAGTCTTCCTCCATAAAGGGCCTCTTTTTGTCCATGGTAATTTCTTCTGTTATGGTGGTAGTTAAGGAAGTATTTATGAGAGTGAAGAGGAAGTTGTTTTTTCCTTAGTAAGCGACATGTATTCACCTCTTTGTATATTGTGTCAAACTAATTAGATTTATAAATTACTTCTTTGATAAGTAGCTTCACACTGAAAAAAGGAGAAGAGTAACTACTGCAATGCACAGAGGACAAGAGAGTAATTCTGCATTTTTTTTTGTTTGTTATTAAATATGCAAGCATATCCTTCAGAAAAGGGCAGTTGTTAAGATATAAGATTGGGAGTCACAAGATTGGGGTTCTTTCCTTTACTCCATGCTTCTTGTTTGGCTAGAAAAGTCACTCTCTCAAATTCCTCAGCTATGAAATAGGAAAAATTTTACTGCCTATGGTACCTAAGAGGGGTGCTGAAGATTACATTTTTCAGGATATGCAAAGTACACTGATGTCTGTGGATGGGAAGTGTTAAGAAGTATGGCGTTCTTAGTCTGATATCACCAACCTTTTAGGGACTTCACCATTGCATTTTAGGTCAGGAAGTGGCAGACATTACTTTGATGGCTACTGGTGCTAGAATTAGCTCCCTGTTGGTATTTCTCAATCCTACCCTTTTTTCAAAATTTAATTTCCATGTCAGTGGGGTCCCCCATAGTTTAATCTTCTATCTATAGCAGGAGTGCTTGACCTCTGGCCCACAAGTCAGATCTGTCCCATGTCCCTGTATCATATAGTCTGTGTAGTTCCCCAGGGGCCCTAAAATCTCCATGGAGAGCCCTGGACCCTGTGCGCTAGATCCAGCACCTGATCCCAGAATGCAGGACTGGGCAGGGGCAGTGCCAGGCACTAGGGCCCAATCGCAGTGTAGGGGGCAGGAAAGTGTGGTGCTAGACCCCTGGGACCCAATCCCAGTGCATTGGGGGGGGGGGGGCCCAGGAGGGGACACACCAGACCCTTGGGGCCCAATCCTGGCATGGGGGGGAGGGTGGTGCCAGGCCCACAAGGCCCAATCCTGGTATGCGGGACAGGGAAGCAGGGCTACCAGGCCCCAGGGCTGAATCTGGCCCACAGACAGTCTCCTTGCCACTTGTCTGGCCTGTGGAGACATAAGGTTGAGCACCAATGATCTATAGCAGGGGTTTTCAACCTTTTTCGGATCAGCGGCCAGACACGGAGCAGGGGGGAAGTGGGGGGGGCTGGCACGTGGCTGAACACAGAGTGGCAGCAGCTACCACATGTGAGCTTCCCTCAACCCTATGTCTGGCCAGATGGGCAGCGCCTGCACATCAGCACGGGATGGTGTATGGTGGCACTCCCTGACTGCCCGTGCATACCTTCTAGGGTCTTCTCAAATACCCCTGGGGGTACGCTTGCCTCTGTTGACAACCCCTAATCTATAGCATATTTTCCTTTATTTCTATTAGCATATTTGCCATTAGTGCCTTCAAAATTTATAATAGTGGTTTGTTTTTCTTTTTTTCCTCAGATATATTTCTGAGTTAATGTACTGTGTTCTGAATGCAGATGGCTTTATTAGTACACCATCTTCCTACATGTGCAGGAAAAGTAAGAACACCTGAAAATCACTGGGTGTTGTCAGTGAGACATGATTATTAAGAAACATACAAATGAGGATAGATGGGAGCACAGGGAATGTAAACCAGAATAGAAAGAACCAGACCAGCTGTGTAGTGCTGAATCCAGGCAGTCTTTTAGGCAAGTCCCTGGAAGGAGGTCCTGAATACATGCAACATTCCACCAACTGGAACATTTTCTGAGACTCCTTGCAAAATTAAACTTATATATTTTATTTGCTCAAATACTTCTTGCAGTTTCAACTGGATAATTTATCTTTTTTACTTACTATCCTGAACTGCTGCACAGTGTTGCTTTGGTCTATTAGAAACCTGCTGGGGTTCCATGTCAGTGGTGGGAATGGTGGACAAGGAAATCATCTTGGTGTACAGTGTGTGAAGCATTGTGGGATTCCTTGGGAAAGACAATGCTCGAGAAATTCAAGAGAATTATCCATTTTGAAGAAAAAAATCTCTCTCTCTCCCTGCAGGTTTTGTTCTTGTCATTGGATTGGTGACATTCTATCGTATTGGGCCCTATACCAACCTGTCGTGGTCCTGCTACCTGAATATTGGGGCCTGCCTCCTGGCTACATTGGCAGCTGCCATTCTGATATGGAACATCCTGCACAGGCGAGAGGACTGCATGGCACCCCGGGTCATTGTCATCAGCCGCACCCTGACTGCTCGATTCCGCCGAGGGCTGGAGAATGACTATGTTGAGTCACCATGCTGAGAGCATGGGTTTGAGAGGGGAGAGCCCTCTGACAAGACTTGCATTGGAATTGTTTCTATAAATATATGCTGTAATTTAAAACTAAGTTTTGAAGAATGTCACAAAGCTCATTTCTTGTGGATAGAGGTCCTCAATTATTATTTGGATGGGCTTCATCTATATACATATGTATAATACACCTAATTTTATATATTATATATTACTTTTTTCCTCTCCTGTACAGTGCAGAAACATAAGATTGTCATCATAATTATCCTGATGCAGTTTCACAGTTTTAAATCTAGGGATTCCAATTGTGGCAGAGACATACAGAGTAATAGTAGTGAAGGTATGGGAAAAGGGCAATTGGCCTACATTTTTTCCTTGTCCTGGATGAAGTTATCCTGCTCCCTAATGATAATGCACAAAGCTCAGGAGCTGAGCTTCAGTAACAGTCCTCCTCTGGAACCAGTGATGGACAGTCAGAAAGATCAGGAGACTTGCCATATGTATCATATAATTTACAACAGCACAGTCAAGGATTTCCTCATCTTTAATGTCCCCTCCCCCACCCACCCATTTTTAAGAATATTTAACCTGGCTGTAACAATTTCTTCCTCACTGAAGTATGGCACACAAGCTATAAACCAAAAAGCAAGTAGCATAATGCTAGCCATTTGTAAGTTATGGGTGTGCAAATTAATTACAATCTGTTGTTTTCAAGCACCTTTTAATTTTCCTAAAATAGAACCTTTTGGTTAATTTTGCTGGCAGGTAGTGATGCCATTAACACTAAAGAGAGGTACACAGCTAAAATTACCCACCTTCTGAACTAAAAATGTACTCAGTTGTTTACATTGTGGGCTGGCATCTACAAGAGTGTTTACCTTGACAACCCAACATTCCTAAATGGCCTTAATTTATTTTGTTACATATGGTCGTTACACATGAAAGCACCTTTTACCCTAAAGTCTCTTTTCCGAGCCCATTTTTAAACTTGGCAGAACATTTTTGAATTTGGATACCAAAATTAGGGTATTCAGTTCTGTGTTTGAGTGTTCAAAATGGCACATGGAGCCTGAAATAAATATTTGACAGCATTGATGCCACCCAACTACAAATTGGAGCACTTGAGAGTGAAAATTAGGCATGTAGGACGTGATCTGGGCAGGTGACTCCCCTTAACAGCAAAAATAGAGTTTGTAGGTGAAGGTATTTGGCATCCTGCAAGATCAGGCCTTTAGTTTGTAAGTGCAACACTTTAGCCTGATGGTTCATGTCAACAATGTGCATTACTACAAGATGGCAAACCAATGAGATGCCAACTACAATACAGAAATAGATACAGGGACCAGAAGAGGGCTGGGGGTACTTACATACATTTTAAAGACTTCAGCATATGGTGTTACCTTGAACACACTTACTAGTAAGACCTGAATGACTATGAGCTGTGAATATAATAAAACCTCTTTTTAAGGTTGCTGTGCTGCTCCTAACTAAATTCTTTGCTTTTTTTATTGTGATTGCCTTAATATTTTGCTTCACTTTGTGATCATCAAGCTGGCTCTTGAGTTCTGTTCTAAACCCAAAATGATGCAAGGAACCTAGCCCAAACTGTCACTCTGTACCATGTCCAGAGTAAGTAATGCTATGAGCTTGATGCTCTACAATCAAGTACTTATAAAATTCAACCTCCCTCTTCTTTCTCTAGACATCAGGGCAGAGTTCCACATGGGTGATAAAGCATTTCTTTTTATAGTAGGTTTGTAAAAACCAACTGAGGTTTGTTTCCATTTGCCTGCCTTTCTGCAAAAGCTCTGTGTTTTCTGGAAATAAATGTGCTATAATTAATTGCAAAGTTTTAAATAAAATATTGGAATATTTAAAAGACATTATATTATTTCTTCTAATATTGCAATATCCATATTATAATAATGTACATTAAATTTTAAAAATCAGCTATGTGGTCAGTAAAACTGTACTATTCAGTATTACTGTGTTTATTTTCAATGTATAAATAAAATGGTGAATTGAATGTTCAGTTCTCTTCAGGTGATGTACTTTGTGTCTGAATGAAAAAAAAATATGGCTGATCATTGCACATGTGTTGTCTGTTTAAGGAACAGAAGAATCTACATGTTAAGAAAATTTCATTTACAAGATTGCCCTTGGAAAGTAATCATTATCCTTCTATAAAATTTTAAAAGTATTTATTTAAATAATTGGTTTATTGATCTATTAAGTGACAGGGTATGTATTTGTATTGGATACCTGATCTACCAGTTGCACTAAAAAGTCCAAGGCCAGGGGCCAAACATTTCCAATGAAACAAAAAATAGTAGGCACTAAACTGAGTCCTGATGTGTGAAGCTGCACCAGACACCAAAAAAACTGCAAATTTCAACAGACTATGTTGAAAACATCTATTTTGTAAAGAATTTTGGTTCAGGTAAAATTATATATATATTGGTGTATATAAATACATCTACCAATGAAAACTATTAAAACAAATATAGATATTAAAATGAAATGGCTAATATTGCACAGTAATGAGGTGATGTTGTTGCCAGTGATGGTCCAGGAAATATGCAAAAAGTAAGACATCTTATGGGTGATATCTTTTATTGGACCAACTGCAAGGTTGGGATAAACATAGGCAAGCTTTTGGGAATCACAGTACCCTTCCTCAAGGAGAGGAAGATACAGAGACTGAGGAACAAGTACTGTGATACCCAGAAGCTTGCCTATAATTATCCCAATATTGCACAATCATAGAAGTAAATTTACCATTGCTTACTATTACAGGCATATCCATTTGCTAGACAGCTTGATGTAACAGACAGTGATTTCAATGGATGACATCACCACAACATATGTGGTGATGAAGCAGCAGAGAAAAAGTCAATATACCTTTATCATAAAGTTTTCCCTTGTTTAAGAGGCAGTAGGCAAGGAGGAAAAAATAAAGAAGTTTAAAGAGGTCAAAACTCCATATGAACCTGAAGCAGAAATAAACCCTGAAAGCAAATGAAACATTACAAATGTTTAGTTCCCACCTTTTGATGAGCTTGATGGATTTGAAGGCTTCATCCATGTCCCCAATGGTTAGATAAAAGCTGAAGTTAAGCATGGCATCCCGTGTGGTTTTATCACATTCTTCCAGCCCAATGAAATCTCTCATGGGTCTCCTGGCTACCATCTGTGAGAGTCGTATTGAAGCAGATTCCACTTGTGCCTCCTTCTCAACTTCTCCTGGCTGAAAGAAAAGCCATCCACATTCACATACAAGCAGGCCTCACCACAATCCCTTTATTTTTTTCATAATGTTAACTATCTGGCTGCCTGCACCAGAAGCAATGATAAGTTCCCTTCTCTTTAAAGCCTTCATAGTGATCATAACAAATAATACTGCACAACTTTAAAAAGTGCCCATCATTATATGGAGCATCCCCCCGAAGAGAATATGAATGCACTGAAGTCACGATGCTTGATATTGGTACTTAGCTACTGATTAGATTTGTAAAGTATCACAGCAAGAACAGAAGTGACCACAACAAGTTAAGACTGCATAATATTTTCTGTGATAGTTCCCAAATTTCTAAATGTTTCAGGCTGAAACGCTGTGTGCTTGCTCTCTCTTAAAAGATAAATGTATTGCTTTAAAATATCAGTATCTGTTTCTCTTTTATTTGTCTTCATATGGAGAATCCCACTATTAGGTCTCAGACTCTTAAATATGCATCATAAAGATGACAACCTTCCAGCTCCAGAGCTTCAGTAAGACTTAAAACTCAGTGGATTCAGAACCATGACAGGATACTTTAACTATTCTTCTGTGCTACACTAAAGAAATAGCTTTGCTGTGTTGCTAAAATCAAATAATCTTTTTAGAATTTAAGAAGAAACATTTCACAAGCTAAAACACAAATAAAAAAAAACTTCACTTGAGCCAATATGGATTCTGCATTGTCCTCCTCCATGCCTCTTAAATCTTAAATATGGTATGGAAATGCCATATACAATATATACTTGCATACCAAATGCACCTTTTATCCAAAATCAGGGGAAACTGATTTTTCTTCTCTGTAACAGAAGCAGCAAAGAATAAGAGTAAGCAGACACTGTGCTCTAATAGCTATCAAGATGGCTGCTGCCTCTCTATGGCCCCAGCAAGCAAAAAGGATGGAGTCCTGTATTAACTCTCCTATACCCACAGTAGCTATTTAGCTTGTGCTTGAAGCATGAATTGAGCTGGTTAAGGGCAAGTGAGCTGCTGCATGTAGTCTGTAGCAGGGCTGTGTGAAACACCTAGTATTCACTTCGGATTTGGCCAATTTTGGGGGCAGTGATTTGATTCGGTGATTCGAATCACTCCCCCGAATCGATTCAGCTGAATCTGATTCAGAGATTTGGCCACTGCCGAGTCAGTCAAATCTCTGAATCAGCCCCATCCCCCACCCACTCTCAATGGCTGCCCTGCCCACTCTCCCAGTTCCGGGCTCTTTAAAAAAAAGCGCCCACTCGCTGGCTGCTGCCCGGTGGGAGGGTGACCCCTGCTGCCCCCCTCTGCCCCGCACCACATGGGGGGCTTTGCCATGAGCCCCCAACCCCTGCCAGCTCTCCCAGATCCCCAATGGCTGTCCTGCCTACCCCAGCTCCCAACCCTTAAAAAAAAAAAGCCCCGGGTCACCGGCTTCTACCAAGGGGCAGATTGATGTCCCCTGCCCCCTGCTGCATGGGGGGCTCTGCCATGGGCCCCCCAAA